GTGAGAGAGAGGGAGAGGGAGAGAGGGAGAGAGAGCGGCTGGAAAGCAGAGACAGAGAGTTGCGCAGGAGCGATGGAGAGACAGGCTTTTTGCTGTGATCAGTGTTTTCATCAGTAGTCTTGTTCTTTAGCTGCCGTGTCGTGTGGATTGCAGACATTTTGCCACTCGTGCTCTCTCTCTCTCGCACACACGCGAACTTGGATTCTCTGCTTGCCCGCACACACACTCACACTCCAAATCTGAGTGTGCATACACAACACATGAACACAGTGGTGGCTGTGCTAGTATGGCAAGATGCTGCTGCTGCTGCGGTGTGATATGTGTGTCAGGTGTGTATGAGATGGGGATCCATGTGTGTTGATTCCCATGCACACTTTGACACACTTGCACTCTGACTTGATGCCTGGAGCCTCTGACAGGCTGAGGGACAAACAGCAGGCCTGGCCAGGGGCCCTCCATGCCATGGTAAATAGCTCTGCTAACAAACTTAGCCTGTAGTTAGCCTCCTGGAGCTAACCTGCACAATCTCATAGAGGCAGGAGCAAATAGGATGCAACACTGTTTGTTATTGATGCATGGGAAGTTTTGTTGCAAGGTAAAGCTGATAATAGTTTGAGCGTGTGTGAGGATTTAAGTGACCATTATTGGTATTACTGTTCTATACAGCAGCATGTTAGCAGTGTTTGCTAGTGTGTGACTCTGACTTGTAGCTTTTTGTGAGGAGAGAAAGATATATTTTTAATGCCTGAAAGAAAGGGAAGCGTTTGTGTTTGTTTTGGCTTTGCCCTCACTGTCTTTAAAGAGAGTGAAGTGTGTTACCTGCCACCTAGATTCAGCTGGAGCGTGTGAGCCCTCCTCTCCCCCTGCAGTCTGCCCGTGCATGTGTTTGTGAGATTGTGTGTGTATGTGTTTGTTGATGTTGCTCTCTGGCTCTCTACCTCACCTTTTCTCCTCCTGCTGGCTGCGTTCCCTCAGGCAGTGACTCTGCGTAAGCAAGAAGTGAGTGTGTGCGTGTGTGTGCAATCTGCATTAGTACATTGTTTTAAACAGACAGTGAGCAAAGCACCAGCAACCCCAGGATGTAATGATCAGGAGAGAGACAAAGTCAGACAAAGAAGGGAGTGAGAGGGAGAGAGAGGCGATGAAAGAATACCAACTCAAAGAATGAGTGAGAGTGTAAGCTGACGAATGCCTTCTAGACAACCGTCTAACTGGCTGCTGTTTTGTATCATTATAGCACTGCTGTATTACTGTTCCCGTCACCATTACATTATGCTGTGGGGGTGATTGAAACAGATAGTTGAGAAGGAATGTGCAGAGAAGTGCCGAGTTGTGATGTCTGGGTTAGACAATTCTGTTTGTCCCAGTTTTCAGGTAATGTGACATTATGACTCCTCACTGTCTATAACCTCTCTCTCTGTCTCCCTTTGCGATCTCTCTGTCACAGATTGTCTCTCTCTTTCCTCTCTGTGTCTTTCTGTCTCTCCCTGTCAGTATATGAGCAGAGAAAAGTGGCAGCAATTTCTGCTCCCTGCTCAAGGCACTCAGTAATGACTCTGCTCCTAGCTGCTCCAGGTCTTCTTTTTTTGCCTTCACCCCTCTACAGTTCTGCTGGGAAAAAAACAGTTGATTCACTACATTTCAGAAAATGGTGGTACTTGAATTATCCAGTGCATTACAAAATGTAGTGGTGGTATGAAGTCATTAGTGGCATGATGATGTGAATAAGCACTTCCTTAATTGATTGCTGTCCTTGCTAATGATCAATAAAGGAAAGATTATATATACAAAGTGCGTTCAATGTACATGGATTATTGTAAATAAACCAAAATGAATTAGTTACTTGAATCATGAGTTAATCAAATCAAATTATTATAATTATTCATAAATTAAATTATGTTTATTGTCATTATCGATTAATCTGCTGATAATTTTGGTGTCCGAAAATAGTAAGAAATTACCATCACAATTTTCTCTTCTTGGTTTTGACTGGATAATGTGAGCATATCTTCTAGATCAGAGTGTCTGTAACTCCTTGGAGATAAGTTAAACTCAGCAATTATCAATTAATTGTGAATGTTCCCACTGAAAAATGAAGCGAATGTAATAGATTTATGTAATACATTATTAGAAACCCAGTATGCTGGATATGCTCATGATGGATCAGCAGACACCGTGACACACTGACAGATCCAGCTGCCTGCCATCTTTCACCTTAAACAGGATTTCTGTACCTGTTTCTGTTTATTCCTGTCTGTGTGTTGTTTCTGTACTGCAGCGTGAGAGTGCCGCCTCTTGTGACTTCCCTCTCTGGAGTTTGGAGACACCTTTGTTTATTTCTGATCACACAGTAGCAAGGCAGTGAGCCAGCAAACAGATGGAATTGTTACTGTACCAAAATATGTGGTGGTGAATAATACTGCTGTTGACTGAATCCCCACTGTGCTATTAAAGACACTAATGCATGCACTCAGATAAAGGAATAAACACACGGTGCTAGCAGTGCACACTGGTCATTATACATACAAGCAGTGGATGCTGGCTACCTTTGCACAAACAAAAATCCTTGTCCTTGTCTTACTGCACTCTCACATATCAACAACCCTACAGTGGTTTTATTGTGTACTTATGCTAATGTGTTAATCAAGTGTGCAATCAATAATTCATCGCTTGCAGACTGTTCAGTACTTGAAACAACAGCCAGCCAGAGGCATCCTGTCTCCCCTTTTGATGTCTTTATTTCTTGTTTTTCATTATCTGAGAGGAGGAGAGTACCTGCCTAAGCTTTCTTCTCTCTGCACGTTCAGGCCTGCAGATATTAATATTTGATGGCTTTCACTTCATTCCATAGCAGCCAGATGTCCAGACAGTGTGCACTCAGGACTGGGACATGTCCACCCTGCTTTCTATGAGGTTTTTTTACAATTCTGTTATATTATCTGACCTGGATAAGAATCCACATGATGCTTTATGTTACAAAGGGCGCTTGGAGAGGTTTGTCAGCCTGTGTTCATGTGATTGTTTGTGAGGTAAAAGAATAACAAAATGCCCTCAGATGATCTTGGATGAAGCTACAATAGCAGTTGCATCTCTATTTAAAAGAGTTTTTCATCAGGGGCACTGTTTCGATATTGATATTTCAACCACTGAACAGCTTTTTTCTCTCCCTCTGCGTGTCTCCCACTATATGCTTGTCCCTCTGACAATCTTGTCTCTTTACAGGAAGAATGCAAGCAGATCATGGCACGGCAGAAATCTAACAGCCAGTCGGACTCACATGATGATGAGGTTTCTCCCCCACCCCCCAACCCCGTTGTCAAGGCCCGCCGCCGCAGGGGAGGGGTCAGCGCCGAGGTATACACTGAGGAGGACGCTGTCAGCTACGTACGCAAGGTCAGTCTCGGAAGATGGATGCATGCGTAAAAAGCATCTACGCACAGACACGCTGCTTATACACCAACACAGATACCCAGGTACACATACAATAACACAGGTTAATTCAAAGCTATTGCTTATTTGTTTGCACAATTAAATCATCATTGCAACAAACATGCAATAAAAAACTAAGTGAATGTGCGCATAGGTGATGGAAGGGGGGCATATGCGAGGCCTTCCCCAGTATGAGAAATTTAAAATTGAGTCTAGTGTAATCCAAATCATCAAGCAGACATCAAGGTTGATGGTTGTTTATTTGTTGGACAGGGACCTGTCTTTCTGTTAACACCCGCTTGAGAGCATGAGTGTAAACACATTCAGCAGAACAACGTGACAGTGGGGAGGGAGGCGAATTATGACAGCAATTAATCAACAGGCTCGGACACATCAGTGAATTTAATTGCAGTAAAATACACAGTTTGTGAGTCAGCTGCTGAACTGATGTTTAGTGGCAGTTGCTGAGACTAGATTACTGTAGACTGTGATAGACTCCCACTCAGGGTTTTGCAAATAGTTGACATCTTGTTTTATTTATGCCAGTTTCATTGACTGCATACATATGATTTTAGATATAAAATGTGGGGGTATCTAGCATATTTACACGCAAGCTGTGTGACATCTATTGGCTGTGTGTTTGTCCTGGTAAAGGAATACTTCTTCTACGGCTCTTCCTAAGGCCGAATCGAGGCAAATTTGTGATTTGTGATACTGGACTGTATAAATAAAATTGACTTGACTTGACAAGAAACCCTGTTACCCAGAAAGACATATTTTGAATATGAGGATGCATCACCTCATGTAATATTTTTACTTGCCATCTTGCTGCCCTCCAGTACTTTCCCTTATCTTAATTCTTTGTCATGCAGATGCTTACATGTAAAACGCTGATTAGAAACCTGGTTATATGTATACATGGCCAAGAAAGGAGCTTTATCGAGGGGAGAACTCTAGCGGAAAGAATTGGGTTTTTCTAATCCCCTGCCTGGATTATGGAAACTGGGTTTTTCGTGTACATGCAGTTTGGGAAATAAGATTGCTGCAGAAAGCTGTGCATATAAATGCACAACACAATACAAATCTGGGAGTATTTGTTTTTTTGTGTGTTTTATTTATGCTTGGGGTTTCCCCTGTATCTCTGCTTCATGAGACAATATGATTATGAACTAAAAGGGAAAGGGATTTATTTTGTAAAGTCGCTTTGAGTTTCTTATTGAGGGCAGTGAAGCAGCTGTTAGAGTTATCTGTCATCTTACAACCTGTCATGCTCTTTTGCCAGAAACTGCAACTCACCTTTACACATTCTGGCACACACATACAACACACACATGCGCTCGTATACATGCATACACACACACCCTAGTCGTCATTACCGTGCTTGTTCAGTTGTAATTAACTTGACACGCCATTAATTGCTGGGTAATGACATAACTGCATGAATCCCCGTCACCACGCTGTAATCGCATGGCCACTGGAGCATACAGTGTGTGTGTGTGTGTGTGTGTGTGTGTGTGTCAGGTGTGTGCACACACCTACGTCAATTTATGTTTCTGGCTCTGAAGTCTCTATCAGACGCCGCAGTCATGTGTCATGGCAACAAGCCTGCCCCCATCGCCAGCCTCATTTTCCTCAGTCCTCACTGTATCGCGCAGACACACATGCAACAACCTACACACGCAATGATTTTCACAGCCACGTCAGCTGCATGTGAAAAAGAAATTAATTCCTGTTATTACCCAACACAACAGATCATCACAGAAAAGTGAGCTAAAATTTAATTAGAACATGAAAGCACATTATTGCTTCAGTATGAGAGAGGATTTCTTCTGGCCTTTGATGTACACTGAGGTAACACACACACACAC